CTGTATTTTGTCAAATGCTTTCTCTGCATCTGTTGAGAGGATCATGTGGTTCTTGTCCTTTCTTTTATTGATGTGATGAGTCACATTGATTGTTTGGCAGATATTGAAGCAGCCTTGCATCCCAGGTATAAAATCCCACTTGGTCGTGGTGAATAATTTTTTTTAATATATTGTTGGATCCGGTTGGGTAATACGTTGTTGAGGATTTTTGCATCCATGTTCATCAGGGAAATTGGTCTGTAGTTCTCCTTTTTAGTGGGGTCTCTGTCTGGTTTGGAATCAAGGTAATGCTGGCTTCATAGAAAGAGTTTGGAAGTTTTCCTTCCATTTCTATTTTCGGAACACCTTCAAGAGAGTAGGTGTTAACTCTTCCTTCAATGGTTGGTAGAATTCCCCTGGAAAGCCATCTGGCTCTGGATTCTTGTTTTTTGGGAGATTTTTGATTACTAATTCAATTTTTTTTTTTTTTTTTTTACTGGTTATGGGTCTGTTCAAATTTCCTATTTCTTTCTGTTTCAGTTTGGTAGGAATGTTTCTGGAATTTGTCTATTTCTTCCAGATTGCCCATTTTATTGGCATATAATTGCTCATAGTATTGTCTTATTATTGTTTTTATTTCTGCTGTGTTGGTTGTGATCTCTCCTCTTTCATTCTTGATTTTATTTATTTGGGTCCTTTTTATTTTTGATCAAACTGGCTAATGTTTATCAATTTGGTTGATTCTTTCAAAGAACCAGGTTCTGGTTTCATTGATCTGTTTTTTTGGTTTCAATAGCATTAATTTCCACTCTAATCCTTATTAGCCTGTCTTCTGCTGGTTTTGTGTTTTATTTGCTGTTTTTTTTTCCAGCTCTTTAAGGTGTAATGTTAGATTGTGTATCTGAGACCTTTCTTCCTTCTTTAGGAAAGCCTGGATTGCTATATACTTCCCTCTTATGACTGCCTTTCCTGTGTCTCAGATGTTTTGGGTTGTGGTATTATCGTTTTGTCTGGCTTCCATGACCTTTTTATTTCCTCTTTAGCTTCTTGGTTAGCCCATTCATTCTTTAGTAGGATGTTCTTCAGTCTCCAAGTATTTGTTATCTTTTCAAATTTTTTCTTGTGGTTGATTTCAATTTTACAGTATTGTGGTCTGAAAATATGCACGGTATGATCTTGATCTTTTTGTACTTGTTGAGGGCTAATTTGTGTCCCAGTATGTGATCTATTCTGGAGAACATTCCATGTACACTGGAGAAGAATTTATATTCTGCTGCTTTAGGATGAAATGTTCCAAATATATCTGTTGAGTCCGCTTGGTCCAGTGTGTCATTCAAAGTCATTCCTTGTTGTTGTTCTGTTTAGATGAAGAGATTGTGCATATTTTTATGTACTGAGAACTCACTTGTATTTTTTTTTTTTTCTGATTTTTAAATTCTGGATTTTGTATAACCACTAAGGATTTAACATTTTTGAGGCTACACTTTGCAGATTTTTAAATGTTTTTAAGTTTATTTATTTATTTATTTTGAAAGAGAGTGAGCAGGGGAGGGACAGAGAGGCAGGGGCAGAGAGCCCAATGTGGTACTAAATCATGACCTGAGCTGAATCCAAGAGTCGTTGCTTAACCAACTGAGCTACCCAGGTGCCCCTGTTTGCAGATATTTATTTTTATTTTAAAGGTTTTAAAAAATTTTTTTAAAGTTTATTGAGAGATAGAGCATGAGTGGGGCAGGAGCAGAACAGAGAGAGAGAGACTCAGAATCCGAAGCAGGCTCCAGACTCTGAGCTGTGAGCACAGAGCCTGACATGAGCCTTGAAAACACAAACCGCGAGATCATGACCTGAGCGGATGTTGGATGCTTAACCAGCTGAGCCAGCCAGGCGCCCCAATTTTGCAGATATTTAAAGCAAGACTAGACATAGAACACAGGTTAAGATTATGAACTCCAGAGTCTTAGGTTATATCTTAGCTTTGCCACTTCTTAGCTGTGAGACATTAGGCTATTTCCCAAGCTTCCTTGTCTGCAGAACTTTTGTATGTATTAAATCAGATGATACTATGAAGACCTTTCACTATGCTTTCATAAAGTGCCTAACATATATAAGATCACAGGAATGTTAGCTATTATTAGTATGCATTTGTTCAATAAATGCTATATTTACCATTATGTAAAAATAATTAAGTTTTTGTTAATAATAGAAATGAAGGAAATAAACTAAAATATGATAATTAAAGCAACTGGTGCTAGAGGAATTTTGGGTCATTGTGTTATTTTAAATATTTCTAGTACTTAATTTTTCTATAATGGGAATGCATTGTACAATAGAAAAATATATACTTTTTTAAGAAATGAAATTATTTTTCAGGTTTATTGAGATATAATTGACATACACAATACTGTGTAAGTTTTTGTACAGTATAATGACTTGAAATTCTTATATTATGAAATGATTACCAAGTAAGTTTAGTTAATATCCATTACCTCATATAATTCAAATTTTTTTTCCTTGCGCTGAGAACTTTTAAAAGGATCTACTCTTTCAGCAATTTTCAAATATACCACACAGCAGTATTAACTATAGCCATCATGTTATATATTACCTCCACAGTACTTAATCTTATAGCTGGAAGTTTGTACCTTTGTACCACCTTCATCCAATTCCCCTTCAGGTGCCTCCCCCAACTCCTACTGTCTCTGATAACCTAAATCTCATCTCTTTTTCTCTGAGTGTGTGGTTTAGATTTCACATGTGAGGTCATTCAGTATTTGTCTTTCTTCACCTGACTTATTTGATTGTGCATAATGTCCTGAAGATCCATCCATTTTGTTGCAGATGTGGTGTACATTATCGTTAAATGGTTAACATACCCCTTCCTTCTTTTTCCCATTATAGACAGAGAGTGCATGGGCCGAAGAATATGCTGAAAAGAAGAAAGGGTCTCACAAGCGTTCAGCATCATGGGGCAGTACAGATCAACTTAAAGAGGTCAGGAAAATGGTCCCAAGGAAGTGGGTGTGGAAGTTTGATTTCTTCCCTGGCTAGTTCCTTGAAGTTGTGGGCAACAAGGATTTGTCTGTTTGCATTGTTTTGTTTTGTGTGGGTGTTTGTTTGTTTGTTTTTGGTTTTGTTTACTTGAGAAATAACGAAACAGTTCTTACATTGATTGGATAGAGATTTGAATGGGGGAAATATACACATTACTTACAGATTATGTGTTTTTCTTTGTCTTTTTTCTTATTAAATGAGAGTCCATACCTGTTAATCTAAGTGTCAGATTTATAAAATTATAGTGATACAACAAATTCACGTTTATTATTTCTGTATTTAATGGTAGTGTTTCTGAAATTGATTAATCCAGTAAACCAAATTGGTTATGGTCCTATGCTGATTACCATTTTCTGTGCCTACACTTAACGATATTTGCACTTTACATACAACAGAAAGATTCAGTCAGGGAATAATATGGTATATTGATTGAGATTGTGTTTGTTATTTAAAGATTGTATCTGTGAATACATTTCATGGCTTGAATTGATTTTTAAGTACTGTTTGATTTTTGGAGCTGTTGAAGCTTAGGCGTTTAAAGAAATCTAAATCTAAATAAACTATGGCTCATTGTTAGGACAATGAGAATAATTTTCATTAAAATTCTTTGTGAAAGCTATAATGTAATTCATTTATTCTAAATGCTGAAAGCTTCATTGGTTTAGTATTTGGGAAGCTTGAAGGCTCCGAACAGTGTTGGAATGTAATTTTGTTTCTCTCTAAAAGAGAGATACACATAAGTGCACACTTGGGTATGTGGATGTGTGTATATATATAAATTTTGTGTAGTCAGATTTTGTGATAGGGTTTTAAAGGTCAAAAGATCTATTAAGGCTGAATTGTACTGGTTCTTACTAAGCAAGGATATATTTTGTGTGTATCTTGGAAAACTCTGATACTCTTAATTTTCCCCTTTTCAGATTGCAAAATTACGCCAACAATTGCAGAGAAGTAAACACAGCAGTCGACATCATCGAGATAAAGAAAGACAGTCTCCATTCCATGGCAACCATGCAGCTATTAACCAGTGTCAGGTAGGAGCCCAAATACCACACAATCCAAATAAGGGATTTGTTGTTTTCCTGGTGATATGTTATTTTATAGGTAACTGATTAGGATAAAAATGTCCAAAAGCATATTTGAAACTGTGATTAAATACTGAATTAGCTTCCATAAAAAATTTAAGATACTAAGTTGACAAAATGATATTTTCCTTTAGTGATCTGTGATTTGACTTTTAGGAGACCTAGCTAATTACATATTTTGATTTACCATAATTTTGTCTTTATCAATTCAGTATATTGAGGCCAAATAATAGAGAGGTAAGCATTGGCTATAGAACCAGACCCTGGATAAGCAGTCTGTTCTGAGTTTCAGTTTCTTCATCTAAAGATTGAAGATAACGATGATACATCTCATAAAGTCTTTCAGTAGGGGAAAACCTTTAATTGCTTTGATTCCTTTATAGAACTCTATGAACTGCTTTCAGTGGCTCACCCAGGAAACATTTCTCTTAAACTGAATTAAAATTGGATTGGGTCCCTTGGCCAAAAGAGCAAGAAAAAGTTTGCCAACCCTTTTTTATAGGTTGATAGCTTCTGATGACTGCCAAGTAAGTATATGTGGATTTTTTCAAGAGAAAGTATAAGTAGAGGGGCGCCTGGGTGGCTCAGTAGGTTGAACATCCGACTTCGGCTCAGGTCATGATCTTGTAGTTTGTGAGTTCGAGCCCTGTGTTGGGCTCTGTGCTGACAGTTCAGAGCCTGGAGCCTGCTTCGGATTCTGTGTCTCCCTCTCTCTGCCCCTTTCCCTTGCTCTGTCTCTGTCTCTGTCTCTCAAAGATGAATAAACGTTAAAAAAAAATTTAGAAAGTATAAATAGAGGTATATATTTTTTCAAATTAATTTTGCCCTTAAATGTTAATACATGGGTCAAATTTAATTTCATAAATTTATAGTTTGGTTGTAGTTTCTAATTGCTCTTTTCCATGTATAAGGTATTTTAATTATAAAATATGAATATAAACTAATACATTTAAAAACATAACCAAACTGGATTTATGTCTGGAGAAAGAGAAAATGTAAAATTGACAAAATAAGAAATGAAAAATTTGAATAGACTGATAACTGTCAAAGTTGGAATACTAATTAAAAACCAAACTCCTTCACTCTCAAAAGTGAAGCTTCATAGGTGAATTTATAGGTAGCTTTACAGGTGAATTTGCCAACCTTTTACTCCCTCTAATTTATCCATTAATAATTTGTAATGTATTTCTAAGAGATAGAGCCACTTTTTATTTCCACTCATATTTTTATTCCTAAGTAGAATGAGGATTAAGGTTGAACTTTATTGAATTAAGTGATAGATTTTAGGAGTTTATCAGTTTTTGAAGTGATTTAAAAAAATTATTTATTTTGACAGAGAGAGAGAAAGAGAGTGCATGTGGAGAAGAGGGAGAGTGAGAATCCCAAGCAGGTTCCATGCTGTTAGCGAAGAGCCCGATGTAGGACTCAATCCCACAAACTGTGAGATCATGACCTGAACCAAAATCAAAAGTTAGATTCTTAGCTGACTGAGTCACCAGGTGCCTGTGAAGTGACTTTTTTAAAGTTGCATTAAAATCAGCAATTAAAGTAGTAAATTATCGGGGCGCCTGGGTGGCGCAGTCGGTTAAGCGTCTGACTTCAGCCAGGTCACGATCTCGCGGTCCGTGAGTTCGAGCCCCGCGTCAGGCTCTGGGCTGATGGCTCGGAGCCTGGAGCCTGTTTCCGATTCTGTGTCTCCCTCTCTCTCTGCCCCTCCCCCGTTCATGCTCTGTCTCTCTCTGTCCCAAAAAAAAATAAATAAAAACGTTGAAAAAAAAAAAATTTTAAAGTAGTAAATTATCCAGAATTTTCTTTTTTTTCCCCCCCTTGTAAGTTGAATTTGCTTAATATTATTGGAGGTTGCACAAAGTTCATGTTTAACTTGAAAACCTCTCTTTTCAGAGAAGATAAGGACTAGAAAATAGGGTAACTTGAAAAATAAATTTATGTAATTTGAGTTTTGTACACTTGGCACACCAAACATCTTGACTACTTGACTTTTTTTTTTTTCTGAGTGTTAATAGCCAACCAGAGATCAAACACATGCATCATGATAACTACAACAGTGGTATTCGTGTTTAATTGAAACTTTCATACTATTAGCATGAAAATACTAAGTTATGGGTATGGCTTAGTTTTAGTAGGTTCTCTCTCTAGTGGAGAAAAGTACCACTTAGAGATTGTGTACTTTTGAGACGTTGCTCTGTCTGCACAATATCTATCCTATGGCTCATACTGTAGTACTCATTAGGGGATACAATGATAAATGAAATATTGGGGCTTGCACCCCACCTAGTCTCAGATAGATATAAGTAAACAGTTATTACACAGTGTGATGAATGTGTTGATAGTGTTTGGCAGAGTTTTACACTGTTATAGAAGGGGTATTTATCCTTGGATTGGTTCTGGAGCCATCTATAAAGGCCTCTCAGAGAATGTGGTATCTAGGTGGATACCTGAAAGCTGATTTAGTCATTCTTCTAGAGGTGGAAGAAATAGTGGCTCCAGGTAGGAGTAATAGTAAGAGGTTAGGCTAGAGAGTTAAATAGCAGCCAGATCTGAAAGTCTTCATGTCTCAGTTGTTAAGAAGTTTGGACTTTGTCCTAGAGGCACCCCAGAACTATTTTTTTTTAACACAGGGGATTGGTTTTAGAGTGGTCATTATGAGTTCAGAGTAGAGAATGAATTTGGAAGAGGACAAGATTAGAGGCAGGAAAACCATTTAAGAATAGGGTTTGTAATCCAGGTAAGAAATGACAGTGGTCTAAAATAAGATAGGAGCTATGGAGTTGGAGAGAATGGCCAAACCTGAATGATATTTAGAAAGTAATAATTAATAATTGAAGTCTATTAAGTGCTTACTATATGGCAAACACTTTATTTAGCTTTTGTATGTATTACTAGCACTTAATCCTCATCTTTGAGGTAAGGCTTATTACTATTGAGGCCCAGAGAATTTAGGTTTTTTTGTCCTAGGTCATATGAATCTAGGTTAGAGCTAGTATTCTAACCCCCAGGCAATTTGACTTCAGAGTCTGAATTTTTTAAACTATGTTAGCTGATGATTGATGAGATGGTAACAATGGAGAGATAGGAGTAAAAGGGTAATGCCAATTCTAGCCTTTAAAACATGACTTTTAAAAATATATCCTTCAAGGAGCGGTGGCTCAGTGGGTTAAGCGCCTGACTTCAGCTCAGGTCATGATCTCACAGTTCATGAATTCAAGCCCTGAGTCAGGCTGTATGCTGACAGTTTGGAACCTGGAGCCTATGTCTCGGTCTCTCTCCGCCCCTTCCCTGTTCGTGCTCTGT